TAACATGTATTAATTCAGGGCATGTTAGAAATTTATTGTTTCTGGTAGTTTTCATGGAAAATAAAACATTTTCAGAATGGACCTAAATGCATGCACTTTGTCTGACTCTCTTCCCACATTTTGGTACATATTTACTTGAACAATCTATTTATTTTAACTATTTATTTTTTTTGGCAGGCAGTGTACTTGCCGTTACTACTGCAGATCCATATGCCAATGAGAAAGCCAACCGGTTTGTAGGCATCTGCATTCAAAGAGGAGGAAAAGGACTTGGAGCTACCTTTGTCCTTCGGAATGTTATAGAAGACCAAGGTGGGTTTTTAACTGTGGTAATTATGCTAGAAACGGTAAGCAAAAAATGTTGAAGTTGTGTGTGAAGGGATATCTGGTGTAGAAATGTAGTCTGTGGAGAGGATGACAATAGACTAAAAAGAAATGGTGAGTCTGCCTACTAGGGGATACTGCAGGTTTAAAACTGTATACAACTGAGATGTTGATGTGCTATATATTTGAAGGCATGGAACTGCTTAGTAATTTTTTGTCTATATACCTAGTGATTTTTAGATCTATATTCTGAGGAGACTGAATGTGATCCACTGGGGTTGTGCTTATATTTGAGCCTGGGCAGTCTACTACTAGCCATGTAAATACTAGCCCGGTTTGAGCATTGTGTATTTGCATGAACTGGGGCCAAATGCGTGAGCTGTTTAACAAGCAACAGATGAGCAGAGTTTTGTAATAGGTTCATATTCTGGTTTATGACAAAATGGGAGGAGATGCAAATACTGATGTTCTGAGAGCAAATATGAAAGGGATGGGTGTCTCTATATATGCTACACATACAATGGGATAGATAGTAACAGCCATTGTAACCAAATGGGAGTAACATTTAAAGCCCAAGCTCGTCTTCTTTAAATTCAAGCCATTCAATGTCTCTTAAGCCATTCTGTTATCAGACTTGACTTAGAAATCTGCATTTGCCTGTGCAGACACAACGCACGTGTACAATCACATGTGCACACATCACTGCGTATTGTAGTTCTCTGATAAGTAAAAAGCAGTTCTTGAGTAACACAGGCATGTGTAACACTGAAGAAATACTGATTTGGTGTTAGTGTTTTTAATGGATTTGGTTCATTAAACCAGACTTTCTCTCTCTAAGGTGTTGAAATATGTTATGACCTATACAGTCCTCGAATCCAGGCGATCGAGGTTCTGAAGCTAGAAAAGAGGCTGGATGACAACCTGATGTACCTGCGAGATGCCCTCCCTGAATATAGTACTTTTGATATGAACATGAAACCTGTGTCTCGTTTAGAACATGAAGAAATTCCTGTAAACAAGGTAGGAGCCGCATGTTTCAGAGGGAAAGTGGAGGATAATTTAGGTAACTAACTTTCATATCTGACATCCTGGAAGGCCGTTAAACAGCTCTCCATTGCTGTGACAAAAGTATACAAAATAAGGCAAGTCTTTATGCTATTTCTATAGTGAAAGAATGTTGAGAATGTAAATATCTACCATCCTCAGTAGTTAATTTTGAAAACATGCAAGGAGTAGTGGCCTCCATGTGCCTCTATATAACACTGTGCAGAGAGGAAAGCTTTTCTTACAGAAACCTTCATGTCGTTACTGAGTTGGGAGTGGTAGGTGTCAGGAAAGAAGGTAGGATTGGAAGAGTCAGCTAAAATCCGCGTCTCGGAGAAGATCCAGAAACCAGCAGACCCTGTCAAAGAGTGACTTACAGGGATCATTCCTCCCTTTCCCTATCATGCTACTTTTCCTCAATAAGGAATAGGAGTAGAACTACAAAAGATGAGTTAACGTCACTTTATGGGTTAGTTTAAGGACCATGTAATAAATCAAGACTGGTAATTAAAAAGTTTTACAAGATACTATGACAACAGTCATGTGGATGCAAAAAATTCCTTTTCTCCTAACAGTGTAAAGTAGTAGTTCCTTAACATACTGACAAATTGGTCTGTCTTCTCTTACTTTCCTTCTGTTAGAGCAGCAGTTGTCTCACCTTTTGCTAAGCTCACAATCAAGATTCTGGTTTCTTCATACCTTTTGAATTTTTTTTTTTTTTTTAATCTTTCACCCTAGCTGCAGGTACGAATGAAACCTAAACCATGGTCAAAACGGTGGGAAAGGCCAAAATACAATATCAAAGGAATAAAGTTTGAGCTACCTGAAAAAAAAATGAAAGAAGCACAGAAATGGAGCCAGCCATGGCTAGAGTTTGATATGCTGCGAGAATACGATACTTCAAAAATAGAGGACAAAATTTGGAAAGAAGTGAGTGAAGAGCTCAAAAAATAATAATGTTTTTTGCAGTCTAGGAATTACTGAGAAAATTAATATTTACTTTGAATTTACTATATGGATTATCACTTGTCAAGTTTTATATATATATACATAAGCAAAATACACAATAAAGTTAACTTTTCCAGAAAATTTTGACGTGTGCAAACTTTTGTGGTTGAACACTAACTTTCTATTCCTGAAAACAGCCACTCCTCTTTTCTGAGGAGTGTAATGCTATGTTCACGCCTTCTCCGGAAATGAGAAGCCTCCCTTTTTTAAATTACAGTTAACAAGAGGGGTTTGCATCACCCATTTAAGTCAGTTGTGTCGTCATTTCCAAATACTTCTGTTACTTCTCTCTTTATAGACTAGGTAGTTGTAGAACTGTTGACTCATAACTTCAAATGGGCTATAGCAGGGAAATAGACATGTCTGATCATCCATATACTCTGAGAGTTAAGTGCTGTTCCGTTTTCCCATTTTAAAAAAAAAAAATCTATTTCTGATCATAGTATCAAATCATTTAGGTTGGAAAAGACCTTGAAGATCATCGAGTCCAACTGTTAACCCAACACTGCCAAGTCCACCACTAAACCATGTCCCTAAGTGCCTCATCTACACGCCTTTTAAATACTTCCAGGGATGGCGACTCAACCACCCCCCTGGGCAGCCTGTTCCAAGGCTTGACCACTCTTTCAGTGAAGAAGTTTTTCCTAATGTCCAGTCTAAACCTCCCTTGGTGCCACTAGAGGCCATTTCCTCTCGTCCTATCGCTAGTTACTTGGGAGAAGAGACCAACCCCCACCTCGCTACAACCTCCTTTCAGGTAGTTGTAGAGCGCGATGAGGTCTCCCCTCAGCCTCCTCTTCTCCAGGCTAAACAACCCCAGTTCCCTCAGCTGCTCCTCATAAGACTTGTTCTCTAGACCCTTCACCAGCTTCGTTGCCCTTCTCTGGACACGCAGTTACAGAGCAGTAATACCGATCTGCCAACAGAGCAGCAAATACAAATGCTCCGAAATCAGTTTTGAAGAACTGAGCCAGTTTGTTTAAGCCAAGTGATGTGAATTAGTGTAAGGTTCATGATGATGTGCTCATAAAGCATCAGAGTAGCTTCTCAATATTGGGACAGCTGGTTTCATAAAACTGTATTTGCATAGTAGAAGCACACAGGGGCTCTGAGCTCAAGTGTTAACTGCCTTCCCACACTTACAAGTAATCTTTCCGCCAGAAAGAAACATCTACAGAGCTAAATTGTGATAGAACATCTATTATATGTTCATAATAGCACAAGGCTGTTGCTTCAGGGGAGACCTTTAGCTGGGAAGAGTCAAAGGAGAACACGAGAAAAGCAATGAGATCATGAGCATGTGGTGATTGCTGGTCAGCTATTCCTTCTTTGTTGGCATTCTGAGAGGAAAAGCAATGGAAATTGTCTATTATTAGAATGCAGGATTTGCAACATAACTCCTGAAGGTAATAAAGACTAATGGTGTCTGAGTTTTTTTCATACTTCTATTAACTTTCTTGTCACATGCTAAAAAAGTGAACTGTAGAAGTCATTAGCACAGCAAAATATTTTTACTTTATTTTCAAAATAAAACAATTATTTTAAAAGTCATCTTTTGTCTGTAATACTGATCAAAGCTATTTACAATTAAAATATTTTACAAAAATATATTTTTAACTTAAAAAAATAAAAAGGAAATCACATGGATTAAATCTGCAAGAGTTAAATTCTAGTCCCAGAAGATTTTGGAGAAATAGAGTCACAAGTAAACATACAGTCTGTGATGCACTACAGTTTATACAATAAAGCATCTTTGTTATTCTATAACACTATTTGTTGCAAACATACAAAGTTATAAAACGTTAGAAATCTAATTAAGGGTATGATGAAGTAAGGTTCAGTAGATCTTACTGGGAAGCAAAAGGAAGACCAGAAAGTAACTGAAGTTGTTCTTGTGCTTCTCATCATCAAGGTGTCTGTTTTTACAAGCCTGATAAAGCAAGATGTGTGACAACACTGTATCACTCAAGTACAAAAGTACGCACATCAGACACTATCTTCACAACATGTCTGCTCTTCCCCAGACGTCCCCCTGTGCAGCTCTTTACCTCACTGAACCCACATTTACCATCAATAAACATTCATCAAACCCCTTACCTGCACACCGACTTCTCATTTCTGCTCGAGGGTCAGAACCCCTGCAACATTATGAGTTCTTTTTCACTAGGGATGGCTTAAAAATAACCCTACCAAAATCACTGTGGACCTCAAGTTAAAAGAGCTCCACGACTGCTGAGTCAGGGTGGTATTTAGCAATGTAACACTGAAAATAGCTTGTAAAGTTGGCTACGCAGTAGCAGCGATAAACCTTACAGGCACTCACTCTCTTTCCAGGAATCCTTCCAAAAAGGATAAAGCAATAAAGCGTTGTCATACGTTTTAGGATGCCTGAACCATCGTTTTTTACTTCGACAACCGTAACTTCCAAAAAGACTCCTTAACCTAGGAGTCGATGGCAGTAGAAGACATTTGGAAAAAAAAAATCCTCAAGTATTTAACAATAAGACAGAGATTACCACTACATCTTTGAGTAAAAGGGTTCACTAATTAAATTTCATATTAGAACTGATTTAGCACTAATACCAGACTTGTCTCAGTAATATAAATGTTCCTTCAGAAATTGCCTATTTCCCAATCATGGATTTAAGGTGTTCAAGTTTGTACTCTTCAATGAAGTCTTCAACAATATGCAGAGCTTTGACTTTCACCAGCAGGAGAAGAACTTCTTTTGTTTCATCACTATTTAAAAAAAAAGAAGAAAAATTTTATATAGCAGCATTTTTATGTACCCGACTTTTAAGTACACTTTATGTTTATTAATTTTAAAAAGTGTCAGATCTCTCTCCTTGGCCACTTGTCATCAGGTGACCTTGGCTACACTGAACACTAACAGTACCCAACATCTAGTGCCTCAAACTATCACATTAAACTAGAACTGCAGAAGCGCTCCTTTGCATTATGGACTCCATCTTTTATCTATATATGCAACGAGAAATCCTTGAAAGTCTCAAATATGTGAGACTTAAGGAACTTAAGAAATATTTAACACAAAGTATATGAGGAAGTGCTTGGATTCCAAGGAAATCCTTATCTACTACCTGTGGCTATTCTTGTGTAGCGTACGGGCACACTGCAGCAAGTGCTGGCAGAACTTCTGTAACTCAGGCAGAGTTGATCCACTTTTAAGATCTTGGAACCATCTTTCTGGGAGGCACGCAACCACCTGTTCGCACAAAAAATATTTGGAAAAAGTTTAAAAAGAAAATATAACCAAGTGACATCACTTCTGACAGGGACTTTTTGGCAGGTTCAGTCATTATTAGTAGTGTGGGTTTTTTCTTTGAAACCAAGATTGATTATCCCTAGAAGTAGTTATTCTTAAGAACCTGTGGACCAATATTTAATCTAAAATGCTTTTATGCACCAAGGTCATAAAAAAATTAAATTTTAAAAAAAAATTTAAATGTTGTTCAAATTTTACAGTTTTTTAATATTCTGTCTTCAGTTTTGACCCCTCTTCATGAAAAAAAGCTTTTAGCCTACACCCTCTTCCAACGTACATGTTATCTTTTACCTTATTACACTTTTCTATATTATCCGGCCCTGGTGGTGTGTTTAAGAGGTTCAGAAGAAGGTAACGATTCAGCAACTTGCTCAGTCCCAAATCACGGACCGTATCTTCTTGTACAATCCCATCCCAAAGAAGAACATTGGAGAGCAGCTGCAGTAATGAAGAAAAAGAATATGCATATGTGGTGGCTAAAGGTGTGCTAAAACACAATATTAAAAGTTTTATGTTTTAAAAAGAATATAATATTATGTCCATCCAATTTAAGTACTCAAACCCCAGGATTCACTCTCTCCAAATTTACTGTCAGTTAGCCACTAATAAGCTGCATATAGTAAATAATCTTATCAACTAGCATAATTAATTTTAAACGTGCATATGAACTGTATCCTAGTATGCGTATATATGACCTCCCAAGGTAGGGAAGAGCATTTTACCCTTCTAATAGGTTAACAATTTGCTAAGGCCCAAGTACAGAAGACGACTTATTCTTTTCACAGAAGAGCTAGCAGTCAAATCTGAAAGCAGGAAAGAGTATTCAAGACGCTCCCCGTACCAGAAATACAGACCAAGAACAAGTGGCATCCAAGTCTAAGCAAGCCGTCAGAGAATCCAAGACAGATGTAAAAAAAGTTACTGCATCTGCTCAGGATAAGACTACATGCAGTCCCTCGTAACACGAGGGAGGCTGGTAGCCACAGTTCATAGCGGCATTTTTTTGGTAGTCGATCTCGGCATTATTACATACCGAGAATTTTCTTCTGTTGCCCCTGTCACTATAAATCCTTATAATTGTTGTCATTTTTGAGTCTGATGTAAGAACATGACTATTTTTTCCCTTAACTCAGAATAGGTTAATTTTAAGGTAACTGTTAACCTCAAGGTAATTTACCCTCAGACACAGCATGCTATCTTTGCAGTCACCAGTCAAAAAGCACCTACAAAGCCCACCACCTTTGCACATTTCTCTGGAGTATCTGATGGGACACTTCCATCCAACTGCATGAGCGACTAAAACATAGGTCAAAGAAAAAGCAGTGCTTGCACTGGCCAGCATTAATCAGCAAAGTACACAGCATAGTAACAAGAAGCATGTTTAAGCCCTGAAGCTACGCGCTGCATCTACACTAGGCAAGTTAGGCAATACCAGGGTACAAACACTGAACTTCCATCATCTGTACTCTTGCATTAGGAGAGTTCCTGGCTCACTTCTCACCCAAGCCTCCATTCAATTTCTGGGCATGGTTTAGAGGCCACTCCTACTAAGCATTGTGAAGACAGCAACCCATATTGAAAGACAAGGTTTAACAGCATCAACTGGGGGGCTGCACAATGGCAGTGGGTCTCAGAGAGCAGTCTCAAGCACAGATGAGTTACACTAGCCTAAGTATTAAGTAGGTCCCAAGAGTTTAACACAGATGAGTTGCAGTAGTTTACCCTGGGGTGACTGAACTCATGCCTCCGCTCCAGAAAAAATGATGTAACAACTATTCAACATATATACAGAGCAAGAACACTTTAAACTACTCTCCATTATCACCCCTTCAAAGATGACCATTGTGACAGTGAAGATAGAAATCAAAAGCTAAAAGAAGAATACTTCAATCTGCAGGAGAAAGCACCTGGGTCTGACTTCCACAAAAACAACAGGAAGCATATGCAGGGCTAGGCATTGTGAATACCAGGGGAACTGGAATATTGTCTGGGATTTTAATGGGGTTTTATGCATCTAAATCTCACCTTTAGTAAGAATCCAAATCTACCCTAGAGGAAACACATCTTAAGTAGGAACTGAATCACAGGCATTCAGAAATTCCCAACTCAGCACCCCAAAAGTAAAACTATACTGATGTGCTTACATGAATACGCGGTGATTATATTCTACAATAAGGGCTAGCATAACTAACGCCATTTTATAAGGCAAATGGCCATTCTCTGTGATTGAGCTGGTCACATATTAGCCCCCTTCCCCCTCATTATCAGGCCCCGAAAGTCCAGTGCACCAAGTAGACGAATCAAACAGATTTCTTCTTCCCCTCTCTGTCAGCCTCAAGATTCCTGGGTGCCAGGCTGACTACTCCCCTCCTTACCAGCCTTGTAGGTCCCAGGCACGCAGCCCAGTGGTGGTGATGACCCCATCACAGAACAGGGAAGCATAACAGCACACAGACCACTGTCTATAAAATCAAGCAGTTACAAGTACTAAGGGGAACTTGCACCAGAACTGCTGCTGGACAGGTGGCCAGGGATGCTTCCACCGTTCTCTGCTTCCTCCAAGGATTGGGTGACTCATTCTTTGATGTGTTTCTAGTCTAGATTATGACTGTTATATCATTGATACTGCAAGCCAAATATTCAGATTTGACCCAATCTGCAAAGGGTCCAGGTGATTAGGAACCATAAGCTAAGCTGTGCTGTAAGTTCTGTGCTACGCTACTTCTAAAATTGTGCTACACCAATTCTGATTATAAAAATCCTGTGCTACTCTGATCATAAGATTCTGTTAAAAAAAAGTAAAGCTTTAATTGTACCTACAACTTAGTGCCATCATCATTCTGCCCAGGACCCCCAAAAGAACCTGTCTGTACCCATAGTGTTGGGTAACAACCTGTTAGCAGGGTGGCAATGACTAATTAATATAAGGCCAACAGGCCTGGCTGACCCACTCAAGGAAAAAAAAAAAAATGAACCAGCAGAAACAGATGGTCAGATCAGTCTCCTGCAGAAGATGTACCAGTTGGGTAAACAGAAATAAAGTGTTCATTTATAGTTCATTCTTAAATCATCACATGCAGGTTGCACAGAGAACACATCCTTCACTGAGAAAAATGGTAATCCATCCTAATAAAAATGGATTAAACTCCCAGGACTCAGACTTGCCTGAAGATATATTTCCTGACTGAAAAATACTTTTTCACTAAAGTGAATTTCAAAGAAAAAAACTGGTATATTTTCTCTACCTTAATAGCTGACCAAAACCGTCTTTCTTGAAATTTCGAACACGGTGATGATTTGTCTTCCACAGTGCTGGTCATGGAAAGAAGAAAAAAGGTAAAATAAAGATTTATTTTTTGTCTGCTTTTAAAAGAAGATAAACAGACAATTGATCTCTTGGATACTGATGAATGTTAATTCTGGCATTCTTTCAGCAGTGACAGTGACAATCAGAATAAAGGTCTAGGGAAACAGCTGTCAATTTGAACCCATTATAATACAACTACTATGAAATAAGTTCCAATAAAATTAGCAACTGGAAGCACCAATTCAGATCAAAACAGCATTACTTAGAACCAAACATCCTACACTAGCTTTAGCAAAGCTTCTCTCCTAGCTGTATCTTAACCCCACATCTCCCAGACTCCCACTCATTCCCATCTTTGAAATAATGCCCAGTAATAAGCATCAACAATATAAAGCCTATTTTAGGAATGACAGGAAGAATCAGGGGACACACACATGACACCAAACCACCTAAACTAACACTAACAGATGTAAGTTGCTATGCTAAAACCAGACTGTGGACCTTGTATACTGGAAAGCTTTTGGTTACAGGAGCAAAAAAGCATTAAGAGTTACTCTTACTAGAAAGGGTTCATAAACAGGAATAAGGCTTCATAACCTTTCCTCTAACAAAACAGTAGAAGGCATGTTTATTCCATTAGCTGTTAATGGATGTCTACAATATTTCATCTACATCTATGGGGAAGAGGGGTACAGGAATTTAAAAAAAAGAAGTTTAAAAAAGTCCCAGAGTCGGCTTACCTCTTAGGATACAGAGGAATAAAGACATCTTCCTCTACAGATTTCTTCATTCTTAGGACAACCATGTTCATCAAATCCTATTTAAAAAGAATTATTAATGTGTCCTCACAGGAAAGACTTCATCTTCCATTTATAACAACTTTAATGGTTGTTTTGTTCATCTCGAAGTGCAATATGCTAATTAGAGCTAAGTACAGTTGCCACTTGTATATAACACATACTGAGACCATGAATATATTAAAAACAGTAGACAAATCACAGCTGTAATTACCTATAGGGTTAATCTAGAGGATTTTTTTTTTTTTAAGATGAAGTTATTTCCTTAAGTGAGGTCTTTTTTTGCACGTTAATTTGCAAGGCAGCTGGAAAACTGTACAGATGAACAACAAAATAAGTTATGCACATAGGATCTCCATAAAAAGCTGTGAAATTCTATGTAAAAAAAAAAATCACCATAGCTAGGATAGCATGCGTATTTAGGCAACATGGTTTTAGGTGCCACAGATTGCCACCTACCTTTTTTTTAAAGCCTTTTATTTACTTATTTAAAGTTCTGGTTTACTTTACTTTGTGTACAAACGGTATCTTGGCTAAGGTCAGTTGTACCACTTGACTTCAAGGCATGGTTTCAAATCAGCAACCTTTGGAAGGCTCAGTTGGAAGGCATAAATATTTTCTTAAAAATATTTCTTTTCATACTCAGGGCCTAAACATCCATCCCATTTCACCCATTTTATACTAGATAAACCTCCAGATTTACATCAGAATAAAACCAGAATCAGGCTGAAGAAGGGCATGCTAGAGTGACTATGTGTATAAAAGTAATTATTAAAAGATTGCTAAGATTATGAAGTAGTCTTTCTCCTAGCCAATTAATTAACCTTTAGGGATTTTCAAGTTTTAAAATTCTAGATCTACTTTATAAATAAAAGAGTTGACCACTGGAGCATTATTAGCATTTAAAGCTCAAATTTTGACAGATAATTACATGCAAATCTAAATTCTAACCATTGTTATTGCGGTGAAGCAAGGTTAGATCTACGATCAGATTCTTTCTAGGTACAAGCAAAATTTTTCTAGGAACAGGAGCTAATTTCTGCCTCAAGAGTGTCCCATCTCCCATCATCTTCAATAACGAGAGCATCAGAGAGCTGGAAGTTTAACTGTTAATCTTCTTAATGTAAAGTGACAAAACAAATAAGTAATCAGAACTGAACAACTTCAGGACAATGTCCTAAGCGTCCATAGGAGCATGCACAGAAAGCACGCACAGTGGATTAAGTTCTCCCTTCCCCAATATCACAGGAGCTTTTACCTCTTTTGCTTGACTGCATTTGTTTTTGGAAACGACTTGTTTTTCAAAGATGTTACTGCAAAGCTGTACGAGGTTCTTTGTCTGAGAAGCAGATAAAGGATCCCACACACTCTTTACAAATGCTGAAAAAAACCCAGGCATTTATTTCATTCACAGTATGCAAGTAGTTATCCGCTCTAGTTTTAAGGCATTACAATATAACAGAAGTAAACATACAAAAAGCTAAGCCTCTCACAATGGTCTTCAAAAGAGGCTACCTTAGCCTCACTCTGTGGAACTACGTAATCACTACATCTTGGAGCACCATTATATAACTAACATTATTTGATAGCTATCGCTTTTATTTAAGGTTTGATTGCCCAGGTGCAGCAAACATTTTCAAGACAATCTTACTATACCTGTAATTTTTGGAAGAACAGTTTTTTCAATCACTCTAGGCAAAACTTCTTGATCAGGATCATCAGCCCTTTTTGATTCAGATACGTTTTTGGCATCACTGAATTCTTCCACAGCTCTGAACCAGGGCATGTCTTCCAACTCTGTAAAATTCTGCTGAAAGATTATTCCTGTTAGTTGTTCAGCTGGTCAGGATTAAAAGAAAAGCTCCATCCAATGATACCACAGATTCCCACTTAATTTCAGATCCACCCTCATCACTGAACAGGCCAAAACAGCAAATCAGGAAAACTAGATTTAAAGCTAGAATTCAAAGGGTGGGATTGTTAAAACATCTTCAAAGAACTTAGGAGAAGAAATCTTTTTACAAGGGGTGTTGCAAAAGGGGCTGGAGGTAAGGGGAATGGAGAAAGTTAAGAAGATTCCAACCACACACTTGAATTTCTGAGACCAGCAGAGTACCTTTCTATTAATTTCTAATGCACTGTGCTATGTATAGAAAAAAACTAATTTTTCATAATAATACATAATACACAAACACACATACCATTTTTGAAGAAAAAGTCAGCTGATGCACCTACCTCAAGAGGATTCCAATTTATTAACTGAACTCTGATCAATGGATTTAATAGCTTAGGCAGGCAGAAGCTGATATAAGCATCACAGTAAGAGTCAGGAAACTTCTCTTTCCATTCCTGGAATTTCAACAGGATTTTTCTGATGTCACAAAAATCTGCATGTACATCTTCAAAGACTTTCCTACTATCCTCTAAAACGTTATCTATGAATGATATTCATTGGGAATAAAAAGAAACAATCACAGAACTTATTGAGGCATAAGCTGAAGAGTTTATGCATCTATAGGACATAAGAAATACCTATCTATATGATAGCTGCATTTGTCATTTATCTTTGACACACCTGACACTGAATCAGGTTTTACAACTGGCTCCCTGGAAAACTCAGTTTCAGAAAAAAATACTGTCAGAAGGCCAAAAAAGGCAAGTCTCTTCATGATCTATTCCACCGTTTTATACAACCACTATGTTTCAAACTTTATACCACAGTGATAAAATTTCAGACATGAAAACCCTTCTGCTGTTATCTGGAGAAAAGGTATTATGCCTTTCCCTTCATCCATTCATTCACGATAATTAAAGCACCAACCTTTAATTCACTCTATCTTCAGAAAACAAACTGATTATACAAAACACATTGTAGTACGGCATTGAGTACTGTCAGATCAGCTTTGGCATAACCTTCTAGTTGCAACAGTCACGTGTAATGCCACTACCACGTAACTCAGACCAAAAGAAATCTACAACCATATACCTATTCTTCTCAAGTCATTAGTCAGAACTGTCCGAATGCATTTCTCTTCTACACTGTGTAACTAAGGACATGTAATTCAAATGAAGTATTTCTTCACCTTTCTTAAAAAAAATCATTAAAAAATATCAGAAAGAGATTTTGTTCTAGGTCATCACAATAAGACTGCCACCAACCTTTGCTCTTCTGGAACTCGGTCACCTCTGCCGGAGCCAGCTCATCATCACTCGACATGCCTTCATGGTGATCAGCTTCTCCTGAACACTCTCTCACTTGCCGTCTGCAAGTCCTGTATTTCGTAATGAACTCAGATGAGTTATCCTTCCCTTGTATGCAGAAGGAAGCTTAATGAAAAATAATCTGACTTCAAAAAATCTACTAAAAGCAAGTTGTGAGAGCAACAGCCTATGGAAGCGCAGTCAGGGACCAATAGTAATTATGTAACCATAAGGACACAGAAACCGTGGAAGAAGGAGAGGCTTTGGGAAGTGACATAAAAGAGGTTAGAGCAATGTCTCTGATCTCCCCTATGAATCGTGTAATAACCTTCACTTCACCTCATTCCCGCTGATGAGGCTAGTAACTCATCCCACCTGGAACACTAAACATTTAGCACTGGACACTGTCTCTGACAGGTTTAGTGTACAGGAAACTATTGAGCTCTCAGTCTGACATCTCAGTTCTGGATCACCTGTTCAACAACCCACAAAAAAATTGTGATAGCACCCAAGTGCCAGTTGGGCTCAAAAAACTATTGCCATGACACCGAGAATCATAACGGGCTGCAAAATCAATAGCTTGCATCTCTGCCACAGGAAAATTATATATGATATGAAAATGATATGTATAAATAATTTCATACAGTTATTTACATCAACTAGCATAAAGGTTAACTGCTTCAAGTGGAATTTCTTATTGTATCATTTTTCATCCACTAAAATGCCGAAGTTCTTGCCACTTCAAAGTACAATTATGAGGTGAGGCATCAATGCAACCGAGAAAGTTTCAAAGCTCCCAGTAACTTTGGGGAAAAAAAAAAAAAATCAGTAGCCGTCTCTAACGGCTAATATATATACGGCTAATATCTAAAATACAGTATCTGGCCTACACTGGTAGCAGGGGAGGGGCTAGATACAGCTTTGCTTCACTCACCGCCACCACCACACCCAGCAGCAACAATACTGCCTGACTTTTTTTGTTATTTATACAATAATACAAAAATATATTTCTGTATAGGGTCGTAATTTTATTTATTACAACAGGACAGAAAAAGCTTCTGTCATATAGTTTTGTAAATAGGCCCACTTAAGACTTGTTAATTTAAAATAACAAGATCTATTAGCATTCCGTTTCAAATCAACATGAAGAGAATGACATCAACAAACAGATGGTTTCCAAGTACTTTGAATTTTGGAAAGCAAACACGTATTTTTTTGTATAATCTCATTTAGTAATCCTACGGGTTTACATTTATCACTGCATAAATGACAGAAAGCCAGTGTACAGTACATCTATCAAAGTTAAGTGTACATATACATAATACCTACCTTCGATGTTCACACATTTCCAGAAGCTGTGTCTTCTCATCACCTTCCAATCCACCATTAGTTGGTTTGTCATTCCCACCTATCAGAAGACAGAAACAGCCAAAACCAAAATGGTTTTTAAAGTTCCTATTTTCTCAAACAGGAAATACAGATTGTCCTTCTATTGTTCTTCATTTGGAAAATAGCCAAAGAAAAATCAAACCTCCTAACCAAAACTCTAATAGTCTCCAGAGTTACACACAGTAAATATTACTTGTTAACTACTTATAGTCAGATGTGGTTGTTCCCTTATAGCAGTTGATGAAAAGGTGAGTTTGATGACATTCCAATTAACGCTCATTGCTTCCCAATCCTGGAAGAGGAAGTTAGTGGCTTCCACAGTAGGTCCTTAGCAGTGTGAAAGGCAAGCACAGGGACCTACCCTCGTCCTGTATGTCAAAAATGAAACCATGTAATAAATTAGAATAACTTTTGAGGTTCGGTTCCAACACTGTAATGGAAGTTAAATCCCTGATCAATGCAAATCATTGCATTTAGATTTCAAGACTAGTCAGCTCCCCACTGTCTCCTGTTATCTGAGTGGTCACTGACTGTGTGACCCCAATTACCCCTACTCTGATTCTTGAGTCCAACACAAAAGTAGAAACCAGAAATATTTTCTAGTCGGGCCATTCATTTGTATCACTATTAGCTGGCTGATATGTGCATAACATGCCAAAAAGAAAAAAGTGTACTACTACTGAAGTGTTATCATAGAAGAAAAAAACAGCCTTTCCACTATATTAAATACAACTAGGAACATAAAAAGCAATTAAAAGCGCTGCTAAATATCCAATTACAGTCTCATTTGTAATGAGCTGGAAGTAAAATCATTTTAATGGCAACTGTTATGGCACTACCTTTTTCTTCTTAACACCTGCTGTCAGTCTACTACACCATTTTACAAAATCATACAGGCTGCTAGCTTCCTCTAATCAGCAGTTTATCCTGTGTAGTGAGAAGACTGAACCCATATGATTAGTAGTTACCAGAAACTGGTGCATCTGGCCTCCATCCATTCCCACCAGCTCCAAGCATATTGTTCTTAGTTTTGCCTTAGTTTTAAAGGGTTTAGTTTTGGAGGTCTGGGTTGCGGGTGGGTTTTTTTTTTTTGGCGTGTTTGTGGGTTTTGGGGGGTTTTTGTTCGGGGGTTTTTTTTGTTGGTTTTTTTTTTTTTTTAAACAGCAGCAGCTATAGATTCACACAGCATATGAACAATACATGGGTGTGGAAAGAAAATATGAGATGAGAAAATTGTAATAATTTTTCCTACAGCGACTGAAAAACAACGTTGTGTTTTAGATAAAACCCTTACACAAAATGGCTTCTTTCTTCATGTTCTTCCCTTCACATAAGTGTCACCTCCTAGTTGGAAATCTCCATTCTGAGCACACACATAGCCTTAAAAACACCCTCATGTAAAAGTGATGTTGCCAAGTAAACACACTGCTTTTTCATATATTCACGGAATTGCATAATAAACAAGCTTTCTCCAACTTAAGACCTACTAAAAAACTGACTCAGTTTTTCTTTTTAAATATTGATGGGAAATTGCTGAGTTGAATAACTAAAAATTGACAAAGTACTTGGTCACATTATGTTCACTATTAAACCAGAGAAAAACAGTATCATGAGCTTTACTGAGGTAAGGATTTCAACTGAGGTATAGTAAAGCACACCTACTGACAATGGGAAGGGGAAAGGAGATCAAAGGTGAAAATTAAAAACTTCATGCAAAAAGTAACTGCATATTTCTGCTCAGAGAGTGAATGTTTCACTAAGAAAATAACTTCTAACTTCATACTAACTTGTCAGATGCCGAATATAAGCAGATTCATTTTTCAGCTCATCTTGCCTTCGTTTCAGTACTCTCATGGCTCGTTGCTGAAGAAGTACATGTACAGCCAATTCTAGATCATTAATGTATTTCAGCTGAAATACAGTAAACAGTAATCAGGTTTTCAATTCATTAAATCCCAAAAGAATGAACAAAAAACAGTTTCCGTGAGTCTTCTGTATAGCCGTGAAATTAGAACCAAAGTATCATAGATTGAAAAGTAAGTTCCTGGTCATCAGAGTTTTTCTGGGTTTTTTGTAAGGCTGAAAAACACAAACTAAATGCCAGTTGCTCATCACAGGACTAGCTAAGACTTCATACAAAAGGGCTCAACAGGACACTATTGGTGCACTTAGTTTGCTTTCAGTTTGCTTTTGAGCCACTAGCCGCTAAAGAAAATGTATTCATTAACTAACATTTGTTCTCTTTTAAAGTTACGTAAAAAAATTCACAATTGCAATGCAATTAAGTAACATAAATTACATTTGATAGCCCTATCTATAGAGAGTAACAGCAGTTTACTTTCACTGAGGCCAAACTTGAGGCTGTTGCTCCCCTTCTCCCAATCTTCACCTTTTTAAATACACAAGGTTTGTAGTTCAGCAGCTGGTAATGTAGACAAATCTTTACAGAGCTCTGCTAACTCAATCCCAACTCGAACCTAACACGAAATCCTCACTACCTCTGTTATGTATCCCTGAGTAAAGACATTCTGAGAGATCTAAAAATGAATTTAAGCCCCACCTCTCATTCCATTTCAGTGCACTCTGGTTACTAGACCTGCAGAAAACTCCTTCCAATAACATTTTGTTTTCATCCAACAGAATCTAGGTGAGATCACAGCTCAAGTCAGTATACCTGTACTAGCTTGATCATCCCTTCAGGTGAGGGTTGATTTGTTTTCCCTGTAATTTGTTTCCTGTTACATTAAAATTTCTGATAGAACTGATTTTTAACCGAGCGCTGTCCCTCCTCATTTCCAGACAAAAGCCCCTCATATTTTGTTGACAGAATGCACCTTTACCATCCAAACAAAAAAAAAAAAAAAGAAGAGGAAAATACACATACTTTTTCATTCAAACAATTTATCAAGTTTTCTACATATGTTTTCATGGCCCTGTAGAATTTGTAATTCATAGGTGCATCCGACGACTTCTCTAACTCCTGGACAGTCATCTTTGAACTTTCAATGTCCTCTATGTATTTTTCATACTCTCTCTGGTGGGCACGGTGCACATCCTGTAATGATGTTATCCTAAAAGAGAGAAATCCAGACAAGTAAAACTATTGCCAAGTTAACAATTGATACATTCCAAAACATTTTTCCCATTATAATTACATACAAAATCTTTGCCTGTGCTAATAATAGTACTTGCATTTGAGCTAAGAAACATTGAAGATTTATCCACGCCAACATTTGCAGAAGCATGGGGTATGGACAAGCATCATGCTTTGGAGACTCAAAACACCACTGACATTTTACCTAGATTCCTCAATACACCACGCTTCCCAAACACATAAAAAGCTTAATTTTGTGATATCGCATTAAATGGATTCTACCCAACATAATCTGGGGAAAACTACAGCTCATGTTAGCATGTCCATACTGGTTTAATATAAGTTGCATGGATAGCTGTACCTATAAGCATTCACCATCTGCTCACAAACCAGCTGGGACTCTTGCTGCTAGTAGGTGATAAAACTCAGGAACCTATCTCTACAGTTGTCACTAACTATTAGATAGGTAGCACAGGAATGTTTATGTATATTACATTTCTGCTTCCTTTTTTTCTCCCTTCCCTCCTTACACCCCAACTGACTGCTCAGCTTGAGCAAGCCTGTAACAGAACCAAGAAACAGACCACAACTTACTTCACTTCCCTGAAGAAGGGAACACTTTTTAATGAAAATAATTAACTAAGCTGTTGTTCTCTACTGTGCTACAAAACTATAAAGTCCACATCAAACAGGTTCCCCCTCCCCTTCTTGCTATTTTCCAAATAGGTTTCCCACTCTTGATAGCCTTATTCTCCTTTTTCTCATTTGATTCTGTACCTAAATTCCTACTTCATTTAACTTATTCCTTTCAGGTGATTATGGCAAAGAAAGCATAAAATTCCACAAAAATAATCAGTCCAATTTAGTTGCAATTCTTTAAAGAAGCAGGTGAATGATGGTTGTACACAGCAAAGCATATACAGAGAGAGCTCGATGCAAGTCTGTAGCACATATTTATGTTTCAGCTGTATAGCATTACTTGTCTAAACTTATCTGAACAGCTGCTTCCCGGTGCTCTGAGATATGACAGGGGATGGCTTACCTTAGGATGCCTGACCCCAGCTGTCCTCCTCACACATGTTCTTGGAGGTTCCCACCTCCATCCCAGGACACTTCAGCTGCCCATACAGCAGCTGAACTGCTAAAGAAAAGTCACAGCCTAGCACGTGACTAAAGAAAAAAAAAAATCAAGGCCGGTTCTAGTTTGCCTAAACAGGCTGTAGAGAATTTACTGCTGCTTTAGGAAATACGAAGCTATTTTTGCAGCTGGTATAAGAACCATCATAAGAGGGCTAGGATTGACAGCTCCATCTGCCCTGGTTGAAGTTTTGCTTGCTGGGCAAACATAACATTGAACCAATGCTCCTGTCAAAAACTACTAGCAAGCATAAAAAGATGCTGCCATTTAAATGAACCTTCTCTCTAAAGTTGTAGTTGATAAAACATTGAAAAGTCCAAATGCTCCCCTATAACAAGGCATTGCCAGGTAAAGTTAAAAATTTATAGTACTCTGCTGGACATCATAGCAGGCATATTACACATAAAATAACAACCCAAAATCCTCCAATACTCTGGAAAAAGAATAAGACTTCAAAGCTGTTATCTCTCATTCTGTGACAAAAACTCAGACAACCCAAAAGTTAAGTTCATAAGAGCAGGATTTACCTTTCAGTCAGTCGCTTCTTCACAATTTCCAAGTTCACAGGTGGTAGAGAAACAGACGGATCAAACATTGGTTTAGCTCGTTGAGATTTATGCAGGGTAGCATCATCATAAGCTTCCTACAAGAATTTTAAGCGTTAATTTTTAATACACCATTTAGACAAGTTTTCCCTCTGCAGCTCTGTAGATCAACATGACTTATCATTTGAATACACAAGGAATATGATATAAACATAGTATTTCATTCATCAAATTAAGTACAGAAAATGTTGTACAGCAAAGTACAACACAAAAGCAAGGGAAACAAAGCATAAAAAACTGCATATATATGTTGTATAAAAACATATAGTACGTAAACATTTAAGCAGCACAAAGTAACGCATAATTTAGGGTACACTTAAGTTGCTGTCTTGGTCTGGAAATATTAATAGCTTTCAATAATGCATAACGCTTCTACACTAACAGCTGAGACTTAGCTAGTATTAAGATTCTAAATAGAAAATGTAGAAATAAACTACAGACAAGCGGTGATGATAATATCTGATTTTTCATATCTTGCTTTTTTAAAACTATTTGAAAATATTTATGATAAATTATTTGCCATCTGTTAGTAATTTAATAATCTATTTTCTCATAGTAAACTTGCTGATTTCCTCCTCCCCAATAAATATGAATGCTACCTTCTCACAAAGCCAGCAGTCAAAAGACAGACTTCTTCATTCTGATGACTCAGCTTAACTGTAATTATAACTAAAGAAGGATTCCACTGAATTTTAGCTTATAGATTAGAAGACACTTTGCGTTCTAAAACAGTAGAAGTTTGTATATTAATATCTAGCCAAAACACAATCAGTTGAAGCAATCAAGTCCATGACTAACACAGTCTGCTAAAAATTGTTGCAGTTTCCTGAACAGCAGAAATTAAGAGTTTTCCAGAAACAACTAGAGTATGAGGACCTAAGAACACCAATCATACCGGATTTAAAATTCAGCAGCAGAAAGATGTAACTTTCTCCCAGTCCTCTAACTACTTCCATTTAACAGGCAGAAATTTCTACAATTGTCTATTCTGAAATAAAGAATTGGTTATTCAGATTTTCCTAGTCTGATCCAGAGTAGGTGACTCAAGACAGAAACAAAAACTTCCAGCTCATCAGAAGATACACCGGGGGGGGGGGGGGGGGGGGGGGGGGTGGGGTGGGGGGGGAGGTCCAATTATTTACCAGGAAAAAAAAGAGGGAGAATTCTACTGTGAAAAGAGAAACTGAAAAGAGCTCTCAGATTGTCACCCAACAGAAATTCAGCACAATAAAAGAATAATCTTTGCTTTGCGACTTTTTGACATTTGTAGTATTTGCATACTCTTGCCCTTGCCCAGCAGCAAGAAAAATGAGGGTTCAGAATTTTATTCTCTGCTTCTCACAGTCTTCCATCACATACAGGTAGACAACGATACCCTGCTTCTGAACAGCTAGACAGAGATTACAGATTTTCACTAGCATCTTCCCCTATTTCTAATTGCCTTTTCTCTTTAGAATTAGGGTGCAACTTCCTAAAAACCTCCCTAATGAGAGGGCAGGTAGGAGATGTGACAGTACTCCAGAACAAGCTCTCTTGCCAATGAACAAAAAGCATCTTCCAATGGTAGGAAAGGATGTGTCACCTGAGAGAGTTTAATGGCTTTCTTTATTTGCTGTTCTTCCCACTTAATTTGTGCTTCATCTTCACTTGATTCATCACTCACAGACACTGGAAGTGAAAACAATCATTAGTAGATGTAATTACATCCTTTATTTATTTTTCCCCTCCCTCTAAAGTAACAATGGTTTTCCAACCATTACTGAGAAGTGATACACACAAAAACCAGCGCATTAAAAAACTGTAGATGGAGGACTTCCAAACTGAAAGGCAAGGAAGGCTTGAAAATGGCTAGTGGGATTTGCAGAATTCACACCAATATTAATTTCCCCAACACACTGTTTCTCAGACAACTACTACTACAGTACGAGGAGCACAAACGTCTCATTTTTATGTCTCAAAGCAAAGCTGTGTATAGTACATATAAATAAGAGTATAAGTACAGTTGTACAGTTAGACTGTAAGTACAGTTAGACTGTAAGTACAGTTAGACTGTAAGTACAGTGACATTATAGACAGCAAATCCTTGAGTGCTCTAAAATGTATGCTGTACTGTAGATACAAAAATATCTCTTTAGCATTAATTAGAATTGCAGAATCAGCTCATAGTTACACATTCCTTATAACCCTTATTCAAATAACAAAGAAAACCAGTCTACAACTCTGGTAAACCAGTGCTTCATAAACAAAACTGTAAGCAGCTATAAGAGGGAAAAAAGCAACGGAAAAGCCACATATGCTTTGCATGCAATAGGTTTGTTTACTTCTGAAGGGCTGGGTTGTTGGGGGTTTTTTTCCCCTTTTCAAGAACAGCCATAACATCAACGCAGGGAGAGCACTGGGAAGACGGGACCAGAAGCAGGAGGCAGGATTTAGAAAACTTCAGTGGGACAGTTTGTCTTACACACCACAGCAACTTAATTCACATTAAATGCTGTGCCTCCTACAAGGCAATTTTTTGCAGTCAACAAGGCCAAAAATAATTTTTTAAGTGTTTCTCAAAGCATCCTGCACCACCGCATTAGTGAGACCTAAACCAGATTAACGTCCCATGTAAACAGCAAGCATCAGCTGTACAGCCTTTTGCCAAGACCCCTGAGGAGCAAAGCCTCGTGCTGCACTCACTCTACTGAGCAAGTCCCACATTCTTCTAGTCATCAGTAAAACAAAGCCACAACAACTGGGAGAAATGGCACAAACTCACCCATGTGTTCAGTCATCCTCTGCCTAAGAGTTCTCATTTTAGGAACAAAATCGAGATTCTTCATATCAGACTCATCTTCACTCTCTAAATCACTGCTTTCTCTTCTCCGAGAGACCTGATGGCTGTTTGAAACATCCAGTGGCAGATAATCAGCCCGTGTCCTGGCTAAGTGACGTTTCCTCCGAGCAGCATCAATACAAGCTGCACTGGGGATATTACCTGCATTGAAGAGAAAGAAAATCTAAGGAAAAGACTAAAAGCAACACCCTGTATCTCTCCTAATGTCAATAATGGCCACTGTTCAGGATCACTGTACAATTCTGAATATAGGACACAAGATATTTTTCTATTAAGCTTACCATGTTGAATATAAGGAGATGGAAAAGCACCCTTAAAAAGTGGCTCTCAATCTAAAAACAAAGTTCAGACTTTTTTCTTTTAAATAAATGGCCATTAGCCTGTCTTCCTTTTTTCCATCTCCCCAAAAGATAACTAAACTTACTGAGTTTACAAAGGAATCCAAAGTTTACAAATCAGACAGCACAAATGAGCTTAAATTTTAATCTCATGAAGGCAATTGTGCATCGTTAAACAGGATTTTTTTTGCCACCTTTCTTTCAAAACCAATGGTCATAATTTCTGATCCATTTCCAAAATTAACACAGAAATACAACAAATATCTGCAACCAAAAATACTGGGGAACTGTCACTATTCTTTCAGAAGGGTAGCCCTGACTTAGAACAAAGAAGATGCCTACACCTTACATGATTTAAGCCAAGTGGGATTCATCTCACCTATCTTGTTTCGTACTTCAAATAAAGAATGCTGTAAAATAACTTCCTTTAAAAACAAACAAACAAAAAAAACCCCAAACACCAGGAAACTAACCTGGTGATAAATCCTTCCACCTCTGTGGAGAGCTGGATTCATTTTCAGTGTCTGAGCTGTTGTAGTCCTCACTTAGTGAAGAATAACTTTCATCCTCCTTCTCCTCCTCTTCTTCACAAGTGCCTTTGGTGTTGCCAGCTCTAGGCTCCAACTGACAGATTTCTGTTTTAGGGGGGAAAAAAGTTAAGAGTCATGATTTCAGTTTCAGCTGCTGGAAGCTGATGCGCCATAACTGGTTACCAGTAACTATTTACACCTTGCTGCAGCAAAGACTGGTTGCTTATCTATCTCCACCTGTCCCCATCAAAACATGTCAAATCTTCCAACACTCCAAGATAGTCATTTACAAGCCAGTTCTTGTCTCGAATCAAAGCGTCTGTGATAGTCCTAAACTAGTATGTCCTTCTGAGACACAAAGCACATTTACATGCACAAAAGCCATGATATCAGCTCCCAGATCACAACTGATTAATACCCTGATAGCTCTCAGCATGTTTGGATTCATCACCCTTGACTTTATAAACTGTATTTAGAAAGCGCCTTTTTTTTTTTTTTAGCATTAACAATGAGGGAGTCCTTAAACTACAAAGGTTTATTATGTCTGTCTTGTCGCCGATTATCTTCGAGTTCTTTAAAAACATTGATTTCTCTTCATCTGCCACTACATCTTCAGTAAATCATCAGATTACTGAACAACAGAATGTGCCACCTTTTGTAAGAATATGAGATATACTTTTATAAGAAGTTACTAAGAAAATTTACCATCTCCTTTGAATCACAATCTCAGTCTAATTTATTTTTACGTAACAGTAGCAATTAGGCTGTCTCTGTGAATTGTCAAAAGGAGAATAGAGGGGAAGAGAACTTTTAGGCACACTTGTTTGTAAAACACACAAACCCCAAATATCCCAATAGGAAACTTACTATAGTTCAATGAGACTAGGAATACTACCAGAACAACCACAACTATTGACTGTCCTCAGTTAAAATATTCAAATGCTGTAACAGCACACAGTTTAATAACACAAAGTTTAAGGTTTACATGAAGTTTTATCAAACAAAATCCTACTAAGCTCACATCTTCTCTCAATGCAAATACTCAGATCAAACCGCAATTTGACAGCAATAAGCAGTGGATAGTTGCCACACAGTTTGAAAGATATGATGCTGAGGTATAAATTTATCAGAAGTTTATTAGCTCTGATGTACTACAGGGGTTCTGCATAACTAGGTCTTCTCAAGAACAGCCTACAAGTTCTGATACTGTTTTATTACGGAAAATCATTTCAGCACAAATAGATTAAACTTATAAACCTGTAAAGTAACATTATAAGTATAATCCTGGCTTCAATTAACAAGCAAAAAACATCTGACAGCAGTATTTGTACACAACTCTTCACTTACCGATTTTTTAATATATTTTCATATAAGTATTCCATAAAGTATTTAACTGAGAAAAGTACTTACTTTTGCTTTCTTCAATTTCCGTCTGCACAGGCAGTAGGCTTTCCTTCTTTTGAATTCTAAAGGTTACTTCATTGAAGGACGGTTTTTTAATTTTAAAAAATTGCTCATCACCTATCCAGATAAAACAAAATTATTCTGAGTAACATTAACAAAGAGAGCGGTATATCTGCATGTATATAAAGTACATGTAATCTCTATGTGTCCGCAGCATATTTTTTTAAATTCTGGCTGCATTAAGTCTAATTAGTTCTATGGCTTTATCACTCAAGATCCATCACCTCTTAATTTAAAACTGTGCAGCTCAGCCTCCTCAGTACAGCAACACCATATTGTCAAAATGTGTTTTCTGCGCAGTCTGTGTCCACCACAGGCTGACTCCTGTAAGCTGCCCTGACCTGTCCTGTGTCATCAGCCACAAAAGCAACAGCCCAGAACGGTCAATTAAACATTTAAGTTTCAGTTATTTAAGCTTGTTCACCATTAACTATGCTAGTCATGGAATCACATACTATCTTCTTGTTTCCTCTGGCTTTCTC